CTAAATAAAATGCACTCTTGGCATTTTTAGTTATATGATTGCATTCACAGATCTTTGTGGGGATGTGAAAGATGGTCCCATGCATGCATATCATTTTAAGCATGTAATTGTATTTAACCTTTGATTGAAAAGGGATCAGTGAACGTTGACTGGTGAAGGATTAGTGTTGGTGAAACGGCTTCAGCTGATGATATACCAACACACCGCTTCTGAGTAATAACTAAATAAAACCAATAAATGATATAGAAATAAATTCTGTGTTCATTCTAAAAGCTAATGAGAGACCAATTCAAGTTTGGGCCTTCAAGAATGAGTATGTCCTTCCATCAAATGTTCATCCGGCTGAGTAAAGTTTCAAAATGACTACTGGGAACGTCGTAGTGTCAGAACGACAGCTGCCTCCAAGATGGGAAGCCATTCTGGGATGTTTTTTAAGGTGGGGGCATCTGAGACGCAATAATTCATAAAGAAGGGCCAGCTTCATCATTAGTCAATGAGATGTTCTGAATCAGCGAGTGACAGGGGAGAGGGCACCACCTTGCAGCCAATCAGCTTTCAGATGGGGTCATTGTCGAAAACTCACCAGGTAACACAGTAACATCGATGTCAGCCGAAGGGGTATAAGTAACATGAGGTACAAGTAAGTTACCAATGACGCTGGATATTCTTTCATTATTGATATAAACCTGATGGAAACACACGTTCTGCAGAAGATAAAATCCCTGTTCTCCTGATCGAATGTTTGAACTGCAGGCCCAATATGGCGCCTTTGATCTTTGGGATGAAAATAACCACTGTCAAAGATTTAATACCCCCCCCTCCAGCCCCCCGTTTCCTTCGCAGTGGCCTGCGTCATAATTAGTTTGTGTCCCCTGCATTTTGACATTGATTTTAATTGTGTGTGTGTGTGTGTGTGGGGGGGGGGGACTCCAGATTGTCAACAGTTTAATCCAGAAAGCAAAGTGGAACCACAGACAATGTGAATTCAGGTCACAAAAGGACATGGCTATTGTTACATTTAATTAAATGAGCTTCTGTTTACCAATATAAGAGATTGTCATCCAGGCAGAAGCTTTTGTTTCAAAGTAAAACCACCTACGTGAGTGTAAGAACAGCCAAAAAAAAACCAAGGTTAAAGAGAAACGTAAAAGCGAATGATTAGGGGGCAGCTCTAATAGACACCTGGGGCAGCAGTACCGTATTTTTAATGTTATCTTTATTCCAGAGCTGAAGGCTCCCTCTCATCCCACACAAGCAAGGACTCCCCAGGTCCTCTGATGTTGGCAGTGATGTGCAGAGGCAAAGACAATGCCAGCCACCCCCCACTGCGTACTCCACTCCCCTCCTTCTCTGTCGGCTCAGTGGGAAACTGAACAGAACCCCCCCCTCCCCCCCCTGCCAGGACGGGAGGACGACGGACAAAGTCAGCCATGGCGACCCATGCAGGACATTCCGATTATTTTTAATTTTTTTGTTTTACGCTATATGCTGCAATGCATCATGGGATAATCAGTGCAAAATATGGAAATTTTTATAACTTTCTCATGAATGCCAGGACCCAAGGGTTCCCTGCAGAATATTGTCGAGAGCTTCACGCTGCCTCTGCCGGCTTGCCTTCTTCCCATAGGGCGATCTGGTGCCATCTCTTCCCCAGGTTAACGACACACACGCACCCGGCCGTCCGCATAACGTAACAGAAAACGTGACTCATCCGACCAGGTCACCTTCTTCCATCGCTCCATGGTCCAGCTCTGACGCTCACATACCCATTGTAGGCGCTTTCGACACTGGACTGGGGTCAGCAGGGGCACCCTGACTGGTCTGGGGCTACGCAGCTCCATATGCAGCAAGCTGCAATGCACACTATGTTCTGACAGTTCTTCATCACAGCCAGCATTAACTTTTCAGCATTTCGTGCTACGGCGGTTCTCCTGTGGGATCGGACCAGATGGGCTATCATTCACTCACATCAATAGATGAGGCTTGGGTGCCCATGAGCCCATCATAGGTTCACCGGTTGGCCTTCCTTGGACCACTTTTCGTAGGAACTGACCACCGCATACTGGAAACACTCCACCAAACCTGTTGGAGATGCTCTGACCCAGTCATCTAGCTGTCACAACTCGGCCATTATCAGAGTCGCTCAGATCCTTCCGCTTGCCCATTTCTCCTGCTTCCACCACATCAGCTTAAAGATCTGACTGTTCCCTTGCTTTATATATAATGACACCCTTGGCAGGTGCCATTGTAATGAGATAATCAATGTTATTAACATCACCTGTCAGCGGTTTTAATGTTATGGCTGATCAGCGTATACATCCTCAGACATGCATCTCAGAATTTTTTTTTGAAATAGGTTGAACAAGAGGCTAAGAAAAGGCTTTTGTCGCTCCACGGACATTGTGGCTAATGCACTGAATCGAAAATATTTAAAACGCAAAAGGAAAAAAAGCCTTTATGAGGCAGGATATGAAAACCAGCATCCAAATGAAATGGGAAAGTGAAACACAATAAGCCAATTCTTCACGTTAAAATGATTTTACTTGCATTGTGTTATTCAGTTAACAGCGTCTCCCCCCACTCACCCCCCACACACTATAGAATGAGCTACTCACAGAGACATTAGTCCAAATCATATTAATTAAACAAATGCTTGATACACAGGGAAGATAACACCTGCTTTGTGAGGGGATTCAAAGGGACCCCCTCCCAGCTTATTGAATTACTGTCACCTTACATTACTTTGAGTATTTTTTAATTAAAGGCACCACGGACATCGTTTACGCTTTGTCTGCTGGATGAGTACTTCAGCATAACTACTGGTTCCCTAAAGGTATGACAGAAGTGCCCAGATTTCCCATGCTGTCGGCAACGTCTTTGGCGTACAGCGATCTCCTCTAACCGTTCTTATATGAGAGTGCCGCTACCAAAAGGCGTTGATCAAATGGCCTATCGTAACACTTACCCTGAAGAACTTGCTCAAAGAATACGCAGCGATCCTTGATAGCAGGCTGTTCTGGCGCCCTGGGAACGCTGCAAAGCATCAGGCATTGATTCGGCATCCAAAAGCACTACATTTGCAAACCCATCAGTTTCAAATGTCAATAGGTCGCCTTTTCACAGCACATCGCTCGAGTCGAAATGTTCGGAATAATATCAGAGAAACCCAAAATCCACTTCTGTTGAAAAATGTCATACCTTTACGCACTGCTTTTCCAGGGGATTCATAGAACATCATTAAAATGCCGATCAACAGTTCATCTGAGACCTTGCCGCCTCTTCTCAAAGGATGTTTTATTTAAAGGGAGGATCCGATTGTGTCATGGGCATCGAGCAGAAGCTATGAATCTACTGCCGTCCATCAGTCTTGATATAAAAAAAAAAAAAACAACATTTCATAGGGAACATTTTATCTATTACACTCATTCACCACTAACCCCTTACATATCATATCCCACAGACTCTTAACGGTATAATATTTATTGATAACCAGCTTCATATAAACTGGGTGTTGAGGCATAAACATTGTACATTTCTACAATTTTCAACAAAAATATAACCAATATGTACAATTATTGTATTAAAAATACAAAAAAAGGATACAGACTCCACCAACTGTCTTTCTAAAAGACATACAGTACAAGTAGTATCAAAAGTATGAGGAAATGATTAGTTAAAATGTGCATTTTAAACACGACATCACAGATCGAACTGAAATTAGCAGTTCTACAGTATTTACTACAATTACTGTATGCTTAAACATTTTTTTTTGTGCAACTTGTATTACAACTTGGATTCGGCCTGCCTATTCTCCAGAGACGATAGAATCGATTAATGAATATTATTAAATTACAAACAATCTGTAATGTGTGTAAATGGGGGGAAAAAATAAAATCACACAATTCCTTAAAGTAAAATATTAAATAAAGCACTGAAGTTACACTATACAGTGGGGGAAAAAAACTGCAACCTTCACCTTTAAATCTATTTTCAATCACTGATCAATATGATCAGCTCAAAAGAACAAAGAAATTAAAAAGAAAACAGAAGCGGATAAGACTACTAAGTTCCTCATTTTTGAGTACTACTCAGATACGTAGCCTTTAGAGTCTCATGAACACAACAGGAATCAGTTTTTATCTTCAGTCATTACAGAGGGATTAAGTAGCAGCAGAGAGGGATTCTATATGCCGGCTCTCTTTAGACATGCAACAAAATCTATCATCGCAACTATGAACAGTCTTCATCCTTCAGATGTGTGGTGCCATCTCATGGCAGGGTTCTTCATGTGCTGGGATCTCCTGGATCCAAGTAGAGCCTCAGCCATGTTCTACCCCGTCGGGGGCTGTCCGGTCCACTTAGAACAGGGCTATTCAATTCAGGCCCTCGATTCCAAATCCAGGCCGTGTTTTCAGTTCTCCCAGGTAGTCAGTTTAATAATTACTGATTCTGATTGGTCAGAGGCGTCACACCTGGCTCACAGGTGAAGGAAGGCTGGAAAACCAGCAGGGCTCGGCCCTTGCGGACCGTGAGTTGAATAGCCCTGTCTTAGAAGCTTACAAAACTCAAAAACAAAACATTAAAAAAAAATTTTTTTAAATGACCAAGGAATAATACTGTAGTCATGGAGATGCCAACAGGTTTGTTCTTGAAGCACGATAGCATATAAAACTGTAACAAAACTCTGCAAAATCTGCACAATCTTCACCCGTGGTCATATGGAGTGCTACAATTCCTACACAATCTAGAGAGGACGCCGAAAAAAATCGAAGAGGCAATAATGTTTGTTCGTTTTTTTTTCTTTCTCAATATTGTCATCACTAAATAAGTCATGGATAAAAGTGCAGTCAAAGCTTGACACGTTGGTGACAGATGTGTGTGTGTGTGTGTGTGGGGGGGGGGGGTAGCGGTGGATTTGATCTGTGACGGCAGGGACACGTCAACCAAAGTTTCACGTTACAGTTTCTTCTTCTTTTTTTCTTACAAAGTGCCAAGACGACTTTTTTTTTTTTTTAAAGTTTCGTTTTGTTTTTCCATGTTTCACAGTATCTTTCATGCAGGGAACTCAAATCCCCGTGCTTATTTAAGGCAGGGAAGGGGAAGGGGGACACTCCCCCCAATCTGATAAGGTTGGAGGACAACTCCCCCACCCCCCAGTCCATGTCCCGTACTCTGTCCAAGACTGACTCCTGGCACCGCTGCACATAAATTCCAATAGATGGCGCCATCCTCAGACTGCAGACACTTGTTCATCTTCTGCAATGACGGGGAGGAGAGAAAAGACATTCAGGACCAGCCTCTCAAAGCCCCTCCTCCCCCGAATCGTGATCAGCCAAGACGTGGGTCCAGTTCCTTTCAAAATGAATAACACCCCCTTTCCGTATACTATAGATCATTCCAGAACAGCCCATTTTGTAATCTGGACATGCCCCCCCAAAGATAAACTGCATAATATTCACAGATGTTCTAAAACTATTCTTTTGGTCATAAGTAAATTCTGATACATACAGCATGAGTATTCATATCTTTGCAGATTTTAATTAATTTAAACTGCGCCATGGGCTTATGTTATGTATATTTTACTTGTGATATTTCTAACGAGATAATTCTGAGTCATACACCAGTACGTGCAAAGCTTTTACAATGCACAGTACTATGGTCCTAATAAACTTTTCCTGGCTCTTAACAGTTTCCTCAGGTCCTGTTTAATAATTTGGAACCTTTATTATAAGTCCATACAGTATGTTAAAGCTTTATATTTTCCAAATGTGACATAATAGGATGTTTGCTAAGGATTATGGGATACCTCCTTAAAGGTACGTTTTGAGTATAACTGACTGACAGAAGCGTTTCTCTGGGCTGCTTGACATGAACTGACAGAGTTTTCCTTTTCCTTTTCCCATCGCAGGGGGAATGACGAAGAGGAAGGGTGAATTATTTTTTTTTGCATCGGAAACAGGCCCCGGTCTAAGCTGAACTCAACTTACCGTGACTCACCGTGTCAAGGCAACAACAATAAAAGATAAAGTGAATGATTTAAGACAGCAGAGTGGCCAGACACACTGCCAGAAATGGTATGCAGTGCGAGTAGTAATGTGTACAAAGGGTCTGAGTCACAGTACTGATACCGTAACTGAAATGGCAACATAATGATCCCATTCTTTTGTTTTTTTTTTTTTTACTCACAGAAAACACACAATCACAGAAGTGAAACCACAAGCGGTGACTGGACACAAACGTGGTGAAGCACAGGTAGGCTGGCAGGTGGCGTTCGCTGGAAAAGTAAAGATGGATGGATGGAGTGAAGGAACCGGTGGGAAGAGTGACAGCTGGATGGCGGTATGGTGGCATGGCAGCATAGTGGTTTGGCACTGTGATGGTATAATGATGTGGCGGTATTGCCGGTATAGTGATATGGTGGTTTGGCAGTATGACAATATGCTGGTACAGTGGTATGGCAGTATGACGGTTTGGCAGTATAGCAGTATTGTGGTATGGCGATATGGCAGTATAGTGATATGGCAATATAGTGATCTGGTAGTATAGCAGTATTGTGGTATGGCGATATGGCAGTATAGTGATATGGCAATATAATGATCTGATAGTATAGCAGTATTGTGGAATGGCGATATGGCAGTACAGTGATATGGCAATATAGTGATCTGGTAGTATAGCAGTATTGTGGTATGGCGATATGGCAGTATAGTGATATGGCAATATAGTGATCTGGTAGTATAGCAGTATTGTGGTATGGCGATATGGCAGTATAGTGATATGGCAATATAATGATCTGATAGTATAGCAGTATTGTGGAATGGCGATATGGCAGTACAGTGATATGGCAATATAGTGATCAGGTAGTATAGCAGTATTGTGGTATGTGAGTATGTTGGTATAGCAGTGTGGCAGTATGACAGTATAGCAGTGTGGTGATATAGTGATTTGGCAATATTGCAGTATGCTTGTGTAATTGTACGACAGTGTGAAGGTTTGGCAGTGTACCGGTATTGTGGTATGGCAGTATGGTGATATGGCAGTATAGCAGTATTGTGGTATGGCAGTATGACGGTATAGCAGTGTGGCAGTACGACGGTATGGCCCAGTGCGCACGTGGCATGCATGAAGAGGCACGGAGGTCCAGGATGCTGTGGACGTGGCCAGTGGCTGCGCCTGACATGCAACGCAGTGAAAGGACGCCGATCCATCAGGGCTTTACCTGCCTGGTGCCTGCCTGTAATTCACGGCTTGGTAGTCTCGGGTGTGTATGCCATTGTCTTCCTCTGAGGAATAAGTTTCGGAGACAAGGACTCACCCTCCTCTTCCTCGGCAGAGTGCCCTTGGGACGGGAAGTGGGGGTGCCGGGGGTCCCCGTCGGCGGGCTTACTCCACTGGAGCCGGCTGGGTGGCCGGGAGGGGGGCTGGGGGGAGTCGCAGGAGCGCGTCACCATCCGCGAGCGCTGCAGAGCCACGTTGTAATCCGGAGGCTTGCGGCCCGGGTGCACTGGCGGTTCTGCGAACTCGGTCAGGGCCCTGTAGCCCGGCGGTGTAGGGGGAGGGTCCCGGAACCGGCTGTCCTTCCGCACTGGACAAACGGGGAGGAGAACTGGGTCAGCGCAGGAGGACAAGGAGAAGATGAAGAGAGGAAGGGCAGCACGGAGTCACATACCGATGAGATTTTTAGGGGCGCCAGAGGATGCCGGTAAGTGAGTGGGCCGGCCGAGCTGCCTGGGGGCGTCCAAGATCATGCTGGTCTCCGGGTCGGAGCCGACGTCCTTCCCTCCCCGGCGCTTTATGGTTCCGGTGTCACCCTCGGAGTCCTCACCCCAGCAGCTGCCGCGCACCTGTCCGGGCCGGGCCCCGTGTTCTGGGTACGCAGGGGCGTCGGTGGGCCACAGACCAGCGCCCTCTGCAGGGCCGTCTAGGTGCGGCAGGCCAAAGGTCAGTGTCTCCCAACTGCGCTGGTGCTGGATGGTCTGGATGTTGTCATGGGAGCCGCTGGAGCAGGATGTCCAGCTTCCCCGGCCACTGTCTGCCGCGTCGAGGGACGCCCGGTCGCCCTGATCCTGGGTCAGCTCCTCGGAGCTGGGGGAGGACAGCACGGTGCTCCCCGAGTAAAGATGCCGGCCCTCGTGAATGGAAGTATAAGACCTAATGGTAAAGGGGATCAGTCTCAGTGCTGTGAGGGATACTGCACTTAAAGAAAGCTCAGAAAGTTACGGAATACAGTGACATGTGAGTACAGGTCTTAGTGATCGTAAGAAGCTTCCTGTTAGCGCAGAGCACAGAGGGTAAATACCAAAATACTTCATATTATTTTATATTAGTGGTGCATCTACATGGGAATAATGGCCAATACTGATAACTGATATATTTTTGAGTGATATTACCGATAACGATAATCGGCTAACCTCTGAATTCCACAAATCTGTTGTGAAACTGACGTCAGTGACGTTACTTCCTAAGATCCCATGAATGGGTGCAGCAGCCGCATTATATAATGCAGGCAGTGATACATCAGCAAAGCAGCTCCGACTTGAGAGATTGTAGCGAAGCGCTAAGTGGCGAGTGAGCCGACGAAATCCCTCGTCCTCCATCACGGAAAACAGATGATCATCCAACGCAGTCATCGCCATTATCGTAGCAGTTATATCTATAGCTCTGGTACTGCTAACTTTTAAAATCGATAAAGTCTATATATGGGCTGACAGAGATCAGTTAACTGATATATCGCACATCTCTACAATACATTAGACCAGGGCTGGGCTATGTGTGATGTTGATATCAACATCGCATATTATGCGATTGAGATCAGGGTTGGGCAGTCCGGACATTATACCGTGGCATAATCATTATTACGTGTGTGATCAGCTCACCAACATTATTACGATTCCTGCATTTTATTTCTGTTTGGTTAAAGTTTATTTTGGGAACATTTTCAGCTCCTTATTTGCTTTAGAAATATTGCAATATGTATTGCAAAAAAGTCACATTACGATATTTGAGTTTTTCCCCAATATAGCTCAGCCCTTAATGAGTCTATATGAACTGGGTATCTCACCCGAGGCTGTACTGGTCGGGGTCCAGGGTAGCCTTGCGCTCCATCCGTGACCCAGCGAGGTGGGCATCACCCAAACAGGCCGCGTGCCTCTGCCTTCTCTCCTCGTTGAGCAGCTCCAGCGACGATTCGCTCACGAGGCTGGACCGCGACGATATCTCGCTGTGGCCCGAATCTGACAAGTTGTCTACCGCCCCGCCAGGCCCCAACGAATACCCTGGAGGAAAACACGTGAGCGGGATGGAAGGGGTTAAAAAGAGTGGCCCCTCCCACTTGCCTCCTCCCCGATGATTTCCAGTTTCCTGGGCAGACGGCCCAGGTGACATCATGCTGGGGTAGCATCATGTTGTCACGGTGACAGAATGTCCACATGGTGATGAGTTGTCATGGAACCAACGGCGTTACATCAGAGCCACGCTACATGTTCATAGGCCCTGGAAAACGGGCCTTTAAAGCCCGGGTCTGGATCCAGCACAGCGTGAAGAGCATTGAGGTTCAACAACGCCACCCACGGACCAGAAGAAGCACTCATAGATGCGTCTTAGCTTTCCCATCCTCATTGTATCTCATTATGGCTGGTTTGACAGCTTAAGTGGTGGCAGGTTGGGTGCGTAGGGGTGGGGAGGGTGAAACATGTTTGAGTAAAATAAAATTCAAAATGCTTAAAGAGGTCTTAGAGTGGCAGTCTGACTACGTCGCAAAACCCCACCTATCCCACAGGTCCATGCGGCACCATTGTTATTCCCGTTACTGTTCTCACTTGCGAGGGAAGAGGAGGAGCCGGTTAGGTCTGACTGCCTGGAGAGGGGGGACCTCAGCTGACTGCCACCTGACAAATGGGACAAGAGAGCGGTTAAAAGGGCCACCTAGTGACCACTGGCCTGCCAGCCCTCTGCACAAGCTGCACGGCAGCAACCACAGCAGGAAAGCGAAGCGGGAGGGAAGGTTTCTTTTAGTAGGTACGAGACACTGCAGAGTTTTGGCCAAGTTTCAGCAGTAGCTAGCTGAAAGAACACATGTCCGCGCCGCAGCAGGAAACCACCAGAAGCATTCAGGGAATGCAAAGTCACTTCAGAGCAAAACGTCACATCGACCTAAAACTCAACGCTTAAGTAGTGAAGATGGGTAAACACGAGGCAGACTTGCGTCTCCCCAACATGGACGGGCTCAGTTAGCGACACACATGGCACGAGGCGAGCATCAGCGCGGAATTAGTGCCTCCCTGCCCCCCCACCCGGCAAAGCAGCGTAACTGCGGCCAATTACCCGACAGTCTCTGCCTGTCACCGAAGGACACACGTCTAATGACGTGATTTCTCTTCAGTGGACATCCTGCATGCAACGAAACGTGTTTCAGCACATTATGGCACACAATCATGAATTACAAATGTCTGTGGATCACATTAAAAATTTACCCGCATTCTAAGGAGCACACGGGGTCATACTAAAGCAGAGGTTTTGCAGTGAGTCAAAACCCCGTATAACTCACAACTGACAGTGCTTGTTACACTGTCCTACACAGTCTCAAACAGAGGAACTACGCTGAAACGTAAAAGGGGCTTCAAAATGTGTTTGACTCTCCTCCCACATGTGTAGTAGGGAGGTAAACGATACTGTACTTATTCAAAACTGTGCGGAATTGAATTAAGATATCTTGTCACATCAAGTTAAGATAGAGCTGAACAGACCATGTCATTTATGTCATTTATAATTGAATTTTGATAAAATACGCATTTACTATTTTTTTGCCTTTGTGGGGCAGTATGTGCAAGTGTGTGGAAAAACAGCTCCTGCGACGAAATTTATGCTTTATGCGTAAAATGCTGAAACGTGTCACTTAAAATATTGCATAGTTTTTCTTTCAAGTCCAATAGAAATCTATCATCACATAAAAAATAAATAAATGTGAAGAATGTTCTGGAAAAAATTATAACTGGTGCATAAAGAAGAAAAACAAGTTACGGATATGCTAACAGTGTTAGCATAGGATGCTAGCATGTAACCTAGCAACATGAGCCGCCTCCCTCTGTCAAGGACAAGGCTAAGTGACTGTTTGCATCTGGTCTGATCTGGGACCCACCTTTCCGGGGGGAGCTTTGGGGGGAGGTGGGGGGGGTGGACAGTTGCGAGGAAGCACTGGATACGGCGTCTTCAGGTGCCTTTTTTTGCCGTTCACTCGCTTCTTCAGACAGAGCCAGGATTTTCTTCAGAGACTGAGGTGAACTTGTACCTTTTTTTCATTTTGAAAAGAAAAGACGTCTAATCAGGCAAACAATAATTTGCCACGGAGTTGTGATTTTTTTCTATTTTTTTTCTTGCAGAACAGCGATTCAAAAACCAGTGTTTATAAAATCCATAGTAATACTCAGAATCCGCCACTAGATGGCACTGTGGCTCCAAGCAGAGGTTAAAGCTAAACGATTCTTAGCAGCAACCCTCTGGTTAGAACACAAAGAGCAGCCAGGCCTCACCGAATGGCGGTAGGTCCTTCACCGGAACCTTCTTGCGCGACGGGTAGAGAGACACAGCAGGCACCTGCAGGCCCTGGCCACCTTTCTGCGGCTGCTTCGGCTGGTTGGCCCGAGGAATCACAGGCGACGTGTCGGGCTTCTTTTTGTCACCCACATTCTTGGGCACTGGTGTTGAAAAAACAAGAGGAAAGACCAGGAATATAGCATTTTCTATCAAAATGATCATACCTGTAATTCACTTGTTGTTTTGAAAAAAATTAGACATACCACCCAAACATAGAGAAGGGAAGATCTTAGCGTGAGAGCTTTTAGCAAGGACCAGCTAAAAATTCTGGGCTTCCTGACAAAATGTCACCTTGGACCTCGTATACGGATGAATTTTATGTAAACATGAGCCCCCTGAATCTGCCAGGGTGTCCATGACCCTACGGAGCCCCCAGCTAAGACTCACAGGTGTTGGTGGACGGTTCGCACTGGAGGGACATGGTCTGCAGGCTATCCTCGCTGGTGTCCAGCGTCAGGTCGGACAGGTACTGGCGGACGCGCCTCGCCATCTGGGCGTCCTCGTACAGCTTCTTGGCGTTGAGGAAGGAGCTGCGGCGGACGCGCTTCTTGTGGCCCGCCGTCTGCACCACGTCCAGCATGGCCGCATTACCGCTGCCCTGGCTGAGGGACCTGGAGGGCGGGTGGGGGGGGAGGGTCGGTGGAGGAGGCGAGGACAAGGTAGAGACAAGTCAGGCAGGTGTATGTAGGGGTGGGGGGAGGGGGGTGCCGGGCAGGCGGGCACGGGTACAGGCCGTGAGTTTGAAGGGGGGGGCAGATGATGGGTCAGATGTATACATGCACCAAGTCACTCCAGCCCGGAACATTCCATGCCTCAATCCAAAAATAAAAATGGACAGGAAACCAACCCCCCCCCTATTATATTGTGTAGAGGACTGTAAAGAGTACCCTCTGTAAATCATTTACCTTGGCAGATTCATCTACCTATATACATAAATATTATTTATACACACACAGACATGTTAACGGTTGTATGCCTATGTATGGCTACTTAAGCTCGCTTGAGTAACATGGGTCTTGGTTATCTGGGATGTGAGCATTATCATAACCGATGGCTATTAACTCACTGAAACATATTTGGTTAGTGGTTAAATTGTAGGATTTGTCACTTTTACAATCACAAAATTTTAAGACTCGGTAAAAATTCCCTATCACCTATTTTTCTCGTTATTTAGGAAGAGCTGAGTGACGGATGAAAAATGTGGTTAGTTTTTCATGAAAGGTTCAGACCTCTGAATTGCAAAGACAAACACGGTATGTTTCGAATAAAGCATCCTGACGTTGCATACAACTGCACCATCCAGTAATGAGCTTGGAATGATTCCTAGAGGCAGCTTTCATATTTATATTATTTTTTAACTTTAACAAAACGAAAAAAGAGAGGGGGGGGGGGGAAACGTTAATTTCACTCTTGGGGTTTGGAGAGGCGAAAGTGTTAAAAAAATAAAAGATAAAACAAAGAAATGATGGCAGACGAAGAGAGAGGCAAACTGGGCAATATAGAGTGCCGTGAAATGGGCCACCAGACTTACCCCAAACTTCTCCACTTCTTCTTCCTGTAAGTGAGAGCCATGAACAGTGAAGCATGGGGGACAGAAGGAAAACGGAGAGAGAGAGACAAGGCCTTAGACAGGAAAGACCAGAGTACCCGAATGAGCAGTATCCACAAGGCCCAGGGACATGTCAACAAATGCCTTGTCATGACTCTTCAGCATGGAGAGACACTTCTTGTGGCCATAGAAAACCCACCCAGAGGGAACACAAGACACCGAGGAAAGAAGCTGGACTGACAGGGAAAACCCCAACCAAGATGGATGGTAGCCAGGTAAAGCCCTCTAGAACAAGCCAGCAACTCACTTAAGCTGCCATGGAAACTCATCCTCAGCAAGTCAGTGGAGCTTACAAATAAGCTTCTTAAAATGCTGGCTCTGATGAAGGCAGCCGCCCAAATGTAAATGCTAGCGTTAGAAAACTCGCTCGAGCTAGGCCCAGGAAAGAGATGATCTGTGCGATCTGTTGTGAAAACGCCAGGGACACGCGTTGCAGATTAACGGCATGACCCACTTCTGTCAGGGTTGGCCACGTACCTCGTTCTGAACATGAGTGCAGGATCCATGTTTACAGATGCCATCCGCCCGACGTGCCTGATCTCTTTTGCGATCATCCTCAGCTTCTCGAAATTCACCAATCCATCGACTTTAGAATCGTTGCCTATAAAGGGATAAACGGTTACATAATCAATTTGCCCGAAATAAAAACCAAACTGTCACAAAAATGGAAAATGCGACCTGGGATACAGAGTGATTGGTTACCTTCATGGAGGAAAGTAAGGTCCTTCTTGATGACTGGGAAGAGGGGGATTATGGGAGGCTGGAGGTTCTGATTGTTTAGAACGTTGCGGTACTTGGCCATATTTCTGGAAGGGTCAAAGAGATCTTGAAGGTCTTGGAAGAGCTTCTCATACTTGCTGGGAAGCTTTTCCCAGGTGCCTCGCAGTCGAGAGACAGGGGCCAGATTCAAGCCACTGCAACACAAATAAACTCAAAATGAAGACCTTCTCATTCTGCAAAGAGTGGGTTCAGACATGAATCTTTCATCTCTTCACCAAGAGGAAACGCTTTGCAAGCCTTCACCCAAGGAAACGGCTCCCTTTTACATACCTGATGATGGCGAACATGGAGTTAAAGTTCTTGCACTCGCGGCAGTGGAGTGCAATCTTAATGAAGTGCTTGATGATCTTCATCCTCTTCAACTGGTTTGGTTCGCGTACAATCTCTGAGGCCACCCAGAAGGTCTCCTGGTTGATCAGCTCCTCAAACTTCTTAAGATTTGTAGAACCCATCTTGGACTTGAGCTTGAAGAGGTCATCGATGTACTCTGTGGGCTCGATGTTGCAGAAGAGCTCAAAGTTCCTCATGGAGAGCTGTGTGGCCACCTCCACCGTGCTGAGCTGCAGCAGGGAGATCTGGCTCTCCCTCAGGAGGTCCTGTGCATCCTCATCCGAGCACAGAGTCTCCGTTTCCATGTTGTTCTTCAGGTAGTACCTGAAATGATAGGATAAGAGACATACTGGTGAGGAATATACCACATGCCATTAGTGGTGTGAGTTAGAGGACTGTGGAACGTCAAGACCTGCACTGTGATGCATCTTGATGATACCAATTCCTGCTCCTGGCCTATAGCTTGGACACCAAGTGACTTTGATGATGGTTAACAATTTTACCAAGCTACGTTAGCCAAGATGACCGGAATATTGCAATTCCTGAACCAGCTGCAGTGAAAAGTCTTAATCCAGTAAGACTTCTTGCCCAAACCCGGTAATTTCTCACCTTCCACTCAGCTGGATCCTGTCGGCTAGCTTGGAGAGCTGGTCGGGCAGCCGCCTCTGCTTGATGACGCCCTCGGGGGTAACGGACACCTCGCACAGGGAGTAAGCCTCAGCGGTGCCCGTCAAGGTAAACTCCCGCATCGCCTGGGCCACCACCTCCTTGGCCGTCGTATCCCGGCTGATCATGATGTAGCGGCTCTGCTGATCAGCTTTGAAGACCCTCAGCACCTGATCGGGCAAATCTGCAGGGAAATAAAAGTGAGAAATGCATTGGGACCTAAAATTCTGATTATATTTCCTTTATCGGATTCAGTGTTTCTTCTAGGCCATTCAACATCTACACATATAATATTCCCTTACATGTATCCAGATAAATATGGTGCATATTTAAACCTGACAAACACAATTCAGATTTTAAAATCTGGCTTTAATCCCAAATAACCATAAATTTAAATGTGTGTATATGTGAAACACAGACAGTGCAACCATACATACTATGTTCATTATAGTATTATAGTCATCTTAAAATGTACTGATTCTAGTTGTATTTCATCTGTGCCTGAACGATATCCTGTTATCTCACATCCAATCCACACAGCAAAGGGTGTGTGAACATAATTCACTCAAATCTGCATAGCAGGCAAACCTAATTTGCCCGACTGATTTTAATGCACGACAATTTATCCGCTGCAGGGCTAAACCAACCCAATGCACCTTCTGGTCAACTGATGTAGCAGCAGGACTCAGGAGTATCTTTGAAAGTATGGGGAAGATTGAGGACCATACAGGAACAGCATGCATATGCATGTTTTTAATGTAGCTTGGAAGCACTTGCAGAAACGTGCATTTTGTGCACAATAGTGGTAAACCAGAAGAGTTGAAGTTTCACAGACAGAAGATTGCAGGTTGAAAAGTAGCTGCGTTAAGGGGCACACCAAGGTCCGCAAGCCCCGGTCAGTCATTCGGCAAGAATTAACAAGCATCGCAGAAACCCCTCGAGCCCGAAGCTAAAGCTTCAGTTCAGACACAATCACCAGTCTCAGAGGAAGGCAGGACAAAGACCCAAAGCGCATTTAGAGTACTGAAGGACCCGAGGCGAGCGAGCTAGATCAGTGCGCAGAGTTAGGGGGCGCGGGAAGCGCAGGGCGTCCTTAAGAGCGGATGAATCACGGCGGATTATTTTTAGCCGCAAGTGAACAAACAATGCGGAGCATCGAAAGCGTCAGATGTGAGGTTCTGAAGGAAGCGGCGACGAAGAGAGCGGTCAGCATTTCTGAGACAAACAGCGATCGGATACTCACTACTGGGCCCTGTGGCTGAAAGAGAAGAGATATGTATGGGGATATTAGCTGTAAACTTAAACATCTGAACGAGCCGAAGAAGAATAACTTGTTGATTTCTGAATATTTGTTTCAATATTTCAGTATTTCAAATCTAAATCAAAGACATCACTCAAAGTTTTAATTACACAGAACTTCCATAAGCATTCACCGATTTAAGAAGATAATTTGCATCAATGCAGGCAGTGCTATCAGGCATGGTGGTTAGATGCGTCTTATCATATATAGCAAAATACTCACTATTAAACTATGTATTAACCAATATACAGTGACATATGTGCAAACAAAGATTATTTATGGGAAGACAGCGAAACCAAAGCATGCAGCTGTCCATGTCCGGCCCAAAGCGTGAGAAAGCACATGAACAAGCGCTGCTCTCACCAGGCGGGTTGTTGAAGTCCAGGATACGATGGTGGGACTGCAGAAGATCTGGGTTGCTCGAGGACAGCGTCCCGCTGACAGGAAGAGCAGCAGGAATCTGCTTGGACTGCCTGAGGCCGACTATGCTGTCATCCTGGGACTGGCCAATCCCAATGTCACTACAGGGGACGAAGAGGCCTCCGCTCAGGAATGACAATTCGTAACATCTAAATTAAGGAGCAAGCTAAACTGCTTTAGCTACAAGCTAAATCACTCAAAGTTGGAGCAGAAGTTCAGGCAATGGCTCAGGAAATGTCTTACTTGTACGGCTTCTGGGGTAGAATACTAATGCGAGTCTTGTCGAGTATCTTCTTGAGTTTGTTCCTTCCACCAACGGTGTTGGCTTTGGTCTTCTTGTTGGCCTTGTCCAGGCCCATCACCTGCTCCACATCCACGGCCAAGTCTGGTATGGAGAAGCGGCTGGCCTTCTTGATGTCGCCGATCTTTGGCAGATGGGGGGCACCGTTCTTCTTCTCCTCCGCCGGCCGGGCAAGAAGCTCCTTGAACACTGTGAAGGGAAGGAACTTTGAAGCCACGTGACGTGACGAGAAGATGCTGATGTCTGAAAAGAATCAACTCACACAAAGAGACTGGATATTTACAATGGTGGGTTCTCTTGGTGAGAAAGTATAAAACAGGATAAAATAACTAGAAAAAACAGCATCAAGTGTAGTCATTGAGTTTACAGCATCCGCTGATCTGCAGTGGCGACTCCAAATGTCTGGTGACTTCAAGTTGGACATGCAATGATCAAAACAAAGTCATGCCCAAAAACGTACCTAACAGGTTTGTTTTCACAGTGATAGACAAGTGCGTGTTGTTCTTCAGGATTTCTGTGGCTTTGGAAAGAGGGACGTTCTCGAAGTTCTGCCCATTCACCTCCAATATCTGGGATAGGAGCAAGATTGGTGACTGGGTGAGCATTCTGGTTGATGTCAGTGTGCAGAATAGTTCACACCTCCAACTTCCTGTCTGAAAGCCCTTATCAGAGGGACCCGGTCAAGAACATGTTCTGTCATACTTAAATTCAGCCCTTGTCCACAGTAAACCACAAGTTCCTTGCAGTACCTGATCCCCACGCTTCAGGCCCGCCTCAGCGGCCTTGCTCCCAGCCTCGACGCTGTCAATGAAGATCCGGAAGCCCTTCTCTGAGCCGCCCAGGAGCGTGAAGGGCAGCGGGGCGTCCCTCGAGGGTTTGGTGAGTGTCACGACCCTCAGTTTGGCTTTGGCAGCACAGGCAATATTTAACAGTCTCAAATGCCCACTCATTTTCTGTTTAAGGAACAACCACAAAAACACATCTCATTCCTACAGTCCTATCGAAAGTGGACACAAGAGGACCAACAAGGGATAAGATTTCACTAACCTCTCTCTCTAGATTATTCTCGAATTCTTCAAGAAAACGAGTCATTGCGGGGTCCCCTTCGAAGTCATTGAAGTGATTGTTTACCCACAGCAACACTACCCGTGTAACCTTGGGGGGGGGCAAGAACGGAAGAAAGCACGTCAGTCTTCCGAATATTAATCCTTCAAAATACTTCACGCCTTCTCGTGTTTTAGTTTTTCCAAATTACCAAGACAAAGGAGACAACACCAAGAATCAATACAACTGCGAGAACCAAACACCAAAATTCTTTGTGGATGGAATGTCAAATCTAATCTTTGAAGCACGCAGAGAAAAATACATCTGACTGCGCTAGGGGGGATAACTGGATGCGTGAGCACTACAGACCTTGTCCCTGAGGCTGGGATCATTAAACCATTCCAGGAGATTCTTCCCCACAATCATGGGGCTGGTGAGGAAGGTCCTGTACGTCAGCAGGAAGTCCTCGATGAAGGTGGGGTCCACCACCGAATGCTCCTCCACGAGATGCATGGTCAGTCGTTCCGTAGTCCCCTGGAAACGGGGCCAGAGAGGGAGACGAATTACGACCTTTCGAAAAAAGGCTAACTATCGGCTCCGTCAGGCAGAGGAAGCAGCGGAGGCGTCACGTCAGGCGGACAGAAATTACACACAGATTACGACAGACTCCGATTACAAGGAACCGCAACTGGAATTTTAAAATAAACGACTTTTCCCACCCGACATCCGAAACCGATCATCACATGATAGACCCTGTGTCACAGCATCCCAAAATAACTCCTGACCTGAAATTCTCATGCCTACATCAGCTTTTTTTTTTTTTTTTAAAAAAAAAAGCTTTGTTGTTTCACATTGTCTCTTCACAAAAAATTAATTTTGCCAATAAAATATATAAAATAACCTTTTGTCAAGAAATTTTTTTCTAGCAATCACTGGCAGGATTTTCTGAGAATATCAGTCACAAACATGTCATGCTTCAGCTTCTATTGGCAGACATTATCCAGCAGAACTGTCATTTCTCTCATTAAAAATGGGACCTTTTTTTGATGCAAGACAAACCCAACAACAAGCCACCTCCCTTCATCCCGAACGCAATCACTTCACAGTTAGATCTGAAAGCTTTCCCGGAAATGCAGGAAACGCCATGCGGCCGACCAGAATCGTTAGCGGCGACGTGACGAGATTCGGCGAGTTCTTGAAGTCAGGAAAAGGTAACGGGGGAGAGGAAAAGGTAACGGCTAAAAACGGGGGCCCAGGGGGAGATGGAGAGAACGAAAAAAGGGACGGGTGCTCTCTCAGGCCCGCTCTGCGGGGAGGAAGAGCTGAGGAACACGATTAAGTAATAATTAAAAAAAGTACAGAAACCAAACACTTTACTTTACATTGATCTAGTATAAAACAAGGTTAACAATATATCAAGGACACGGCAAAAATATGAAGTCTGGTCTCACCTTGATGACAATGTGTCCCTTTCGGGTACCGGTGCGGTCCAGCTCGCGGTGTTCTTTCACCATGACGATCTCGCCCTCCTCCTCCACCTTCTGCATGTTCTTCTCCACTTGGTTGAGGATGCAGCAGTAGTCCTGCTGAGCGATGCACACGAACTGGACGGCGAGAGGGGCGGAAGCCAGAGACTCAGGCCTCGGAAAGTGAAACCGGCGGGGGCCATCAAAGACGGAGAAGTGAAAGCTTCCCGGGCTTATTATAAGCGAGTGATGCGCGTAGGGGACTTTCCCTGAAAGGGTGGGGGCACCTAGAGCCGTGTCCGAATCCCCCTCCCCCCAGAAATACCCACCTGACAGTCGTCCACCTTGGTCTTCATCACCCCTTTCATGTACTCCTTCCCCATGGTGGGCGAGACCCCAAAGCTGTTGCCCATGCAGAGGATCTCCGCGCGCCCATCTGGGTAGGTCACCTCCACCGAGCCATTCAGGATCACCGACCAGGAGTCCAGCTGTGAAGAAGGGGGAGAATCTCAGTACTGACTTTCGGCCTGTCTGACCAAGAGCTTAAGGTCTTCAGTAACCAGGGAACTGCACTGGTGTAAGGCATATTGCCCAGTGAAGCAAGGTTTCTCAAAGTCTTCCTTGCCCAGTAAGGCGTGGCCCTTAGCACCGTGTCAATCTCGACTGCCGATTTCTAGACTTTAGTCAATATTCGAAATGGTGTCGCACCACAGTTAACGATACAAGTACTGAAATAACAGCGATGACGCACTGGGCGATAAGCCATTTTTCCACAGCGGAGAACGAGGGATTTCTCCAATTCTTTCAGCACTTTGAGGACGCAAAGTAGCAGCCCATGACAAGTTTATAATTCATTATTAAATCAGGCCTGCAAATCAATGCTTCTTTTTCCAGAGAACAAAAGAACGATGCTATGTCATCCTGCTAACCGGCGCTGACAAGCTCAGCAAGTTTCACCACTGGTAAGTCCACCCCCCCACCGCAGCAATTAGCTCAGAGCTTAGCCACTTACCAGTATCGGCAAAGTTAGATAAATTAGACACAAAATATATCGGTATCCGGTGGAATTTCCGCATCGATGCACCAGCACTACACACCTTTGAGAATGTGTTGTATCCCTTTATACTGTATATATACTATATCTTTAAAGTATTTCTCTAAACACATTTCTTAACTTAAAATAAGTTTTAAATTGCATCCCAACTGGTACTAAAAATTCTAACTTTCATATTAATAGAAAAAACAGGATATTTAACTACAAGTGAAATTTGTGCGGAAAATCCCGTCTCAGGTCACCATCGGCCATACACCGATATGACCCTTCCTGAAGTTCATGCATCATTTTTCCCAGAAATCAGATCCCCAGGAGGCCCCGAAGGAGTTCTGCTGACCTCCTCGCCGTCATTGAGCACGACGGTTCCGGCACGTTCCACCACGGCAAACACCATGACTGCGCACAGCTCCCGACGCACGGACATGGTCATGTTGGCAAAAGCAGGAAGCTGGTGCATGAATTCCAGTAATTGTTCTGGTGGTGAGAAAAAAAGAAGTTCCTTCAGTTCCATCCCAAGCTCCCCAGTTCTCCACGGTTCATCAGTCCACCGGCAAAATGACCTGAATGTGTCAGACTGAAGTTGAGCTATTTCACATGGAATATAACACACATACTGACAGGCCTTTCAAAAGTGGCAAACCCAATCATATACTCATATTCATATCATCAGATTTTTCTACTTCTAGTTCTTGAGAAGATCAAATAGCATCAGGAAAGTGCTGGGTCCAATTCTGATCATCATCACTGAACTTGGCAAACATTTATCTTATAAAACATTTGTGTTTCATTGGCTTGCTGGATTAGTGGTGTCTAGGTCTGTGAGGGATACGTGGCAGACTAACGCATTCGCACCAGCTAATGCCAGATGTTTGGGCACTGAAGTTTAATACCGGGCCTTGATGTCTGGTCTGAAAGCCCAACTTTTCAGGCGTGTGCCAAAGCAGGGCATGAGTGAGTCAGCTGCTGTAAGATTTAGCTACACATTTAAAAATAATCTCTAATATGACACTGAATATAATCCTTAAGTCAGGGTTTAAAGAGATCTGGCAGAAATGCAGTATCGACAGCTACTTGCATCAGGAGAGGGATAAAGGATCAGCTGGCAGAAGCTGGGCTTCAGGGACAGGGCATTTTGGGGGGGGGGGGGGGGGGGGGGGGATGGAGCCTGGGGGTTTCATTGGGTACCATTTAAAAAAAAAAAAAAAAAAAGTGAGTGTTTCAGAGAGATCTCTGTGACACGCTAAGAACAGGAGGTTATAATAAGCGCAAGATGAACAAGCAAGTTCGGGTACCCTCCTGTCAGGATATGCAAAAAAACAACACTAGGCAAAGGATTATGGGTAGAAGGCAGCGATGGAGAGCAGAGAAAGGCGTGGGTGCATGTGTGTGGCTTAAGTAAGAGAGGGCGCGGAGAAGGTATTACGGCACCCCCCAGAGGAGAACAGGCGTGGAGGTTTTGTGGTTCGAATACGAAAGGGGATCCCTGCATTAATCACCGTGAGAAAGGAGGTATGGTAGGTTTCTTACATACACATATTCAGACCAACCAGGTGCAGCTCAAATTCTGTGGTTTCTATTAGAATACTGAAAGTTTTAACCAAAAAAAACTTTAAGCTTAAAAACTTAGAGACAGAAAACAAGCAAAGATCAATAGACGTGCCGGCTTCACTGGAACAAAACCGGACTCAAAATGCGAGGGAACTTGGCCCCTTTGTGTTAAAGTGGGGAGAATAAGAGAGACCATAATTCATACAGAGGGGCCAACCTAATCATTAGCCAATGGTATGTTTGGAATTGGAGAGTGACAAGAGAGGTGGTGCTCTTAGGACCAATCAGCTTTCAGCTGGGACCACGGTCCCCGTGGCCCCGGACCCCTGTATACATTCTTGACGATGTCTGCAAGGCGGTGCTGGTATCCGCACCAATGTCGTCGTCTGTCCTGTCCATGGGGTCCTTCTCCAGACAGTCCCGCACGATGTCCCTGCTCATGAGGGGGTCCGAGGCGCGTTCGATGTCTTCCTCGTCGTCATCTTCCTCGGAGTCCACGGCGGTCTCGGGCAGCCCGCTCAGGTCCATGTCTCCGGCCTCGTTCTCCGTGGCCTGCGGAGAAGCAGCAGAGCGGGGTCACCTTCTCCAGAAACATGCCGACCGCTGCTTTAACCTCTCGGCAAGAGAGGAACAGCGCCCCCGCCCCCCACCTGATGAGGAGCAGCCTGTAACAAACCGTGCAATTACCCACGCCTTCGCTCTAATCATTAGCATTATGCTGTTCCGACATGCTGCCCCCTCCTGGTGATGTCTGATTGGTGCAGCTCAGCCCCAGGCCACCCACAAAGGGGTGGGAAGGAGGTGACAGGGAGTTCAATCATACTGACACAGATAGCCAGCTTCTTACACAACCTGCGTAAGCCCAGTTAAATTCAGGCTGCTTATCTCTAAACAAAACACAGGCTTATCTCACCCGAAACACTGTCTACACGTTTTAGTGAACACAGACCCAGGAAAAAAATGCATACAATGCCTAAACGAATCCTTCAAACGAACGCTGCACAGAAGCCGTATTAGGTCATACGGGGGGGGGGGACGACACTTCCCCTTCACAGGGACAACCTTGAAAACCAAAGGTTCGAAACAAAATG